GAGAGAATGGTTTATTGGAAGCTGCAAGTTTACTATTGCCAAACGCAGGGTCCCCTTGGAGAGGCACTGTGTCCATTTGGGCAGACTTAACGTCCGATCGATGCTGGGCCACCCACCATTGCTGATCCTCATGTCCATGCCGACATGACCGAAAAACATCACATCACTGCATGGTGCAACACTCAGCACAGAATTGTATCCTTGTGACTAGGGAGGTGTTCACCCAATGAACTGGCAACGCCAATCAGCAATGCGACTTTGGCAGCCAGCACAGCTGGTACACATGGGTTGGATCTGCTTGAACGATCCTCGGTGAAAAATTTTTGCCACCCTTCCAGCGGCTATAGGGACTACATGGTATTCCTTGGCTCCCACGACAAGCGTTATACGACCTTTTCTATGTGCACTGATGTTTGGCACCAACAAAAATTTTGGCTCCTTTATGTGGTGTGTGATATGTCTGTTCGTAATAATGGGGCTTTCTGACAGCACTAATTACTTACAGCTGCTATTATTTGTTGTCCAAAGAATGGCCCTTTTCACTGAATTTGGGCTATACGTTTTGTGGCTATGCTTGGCATCAATTTGACGTTCAGCAAAGCGCCATACCAAAATCGACATAGTGACTTCCCTTACCTGGCTCCTAAGCCCATCCATCCATATTTGCTCGCATGATAAGACCTCCACACAATTGCACGCAGTTGGTGTCCACCGCCACTCATCTCAGCCCGAGGAGCCCATTGAAAGGCAATAATAGTGACCGAGCACATTTAAGGCATGGGTCTCATTCCTCAAATGTGCCCAGTCACTGTGTAGCACGTACGTTGCGCTTTACCATTGCGCGACTCAGCCTGGAGTCAAACCCCCAGTCCCATGCTCACTCCCTCACCCATGCAACAACCAACTGGGCCTCACCCACGCCGGGCGGGCAGGGCAGGCGTTCAACAAGATCGTGTTGGGACCGAGGGAGGAGTCTAAATCCATTTAACCCTATTTTGGGGAAAATGATATAAGGTTCAGTACTTTACAGTACTTACTTGTACTAATTTGTCCTGAAAGGGTGTTATGACCGCCCCCAGCCAGACTCAAGCTCAGCGTCAACAAACTCTCAAGGACGCAAACTGCCAACGACGGCGCTCTTTGAGCGCCTTCAATTTTGACTGATCCACTGGCACCAGGTGGTCAGAAAGCAAAAGGGGGGGCCTGAAAGAACATTCAAATGTAGCTTCCGATTCAAACCATCGGTGCAGCCCGCCAAACTTAGCCCTTGACAAAAACCCATCAACATAGAAGTTCCATGTATCGATTATGGATGGCAGGCAATGGTGACAGTGCTCCATTTTCTCTTCCACTGCCAAGCCTACAACACCATCCGTCGAAGCCACTCTCGTATTTTTCAATGTCGCAATGCGAAAGGACTCTTTGCTACAGTTCCAGCTCGACAGCTTGCGAACACACTTCGTTTGATGTATTACCATCGATTATCACTTTTAGGCAGCGAAATTTCATAGTTCGTACATTTAGCTTGCATTCTCCTTAGATTCTAATGAACCAATCACCGACACTGCTTTGCTCAGGCAAAATAGGAAGCTGACGGCTACCTCATTGCCTTGTTCTGTAAAAAAACTCATGATGATGATGATGACAGTGCTGGACTTGTTCTGTTAAAATATCTGATGATGGCGACAGCAATGGACTATGCGAATTGAGATTTTCTTCAGAACTCCTTTGTTCAACCCGACTAAGGATATCTTAGATTACGCCCAGGGAAGTTTTGAGACTCCTCTTACTTCACGTTGACTTCGTGGCAATTACATCATTCCCTAGCGTCGCAGATATGAGCCGTGCTATCAACGCCTCCACGCCTCGATTTCCCATCAGAGGGGCCCTGAAGGCCCCTAGGGCTCGCCGGAAAAAACATCAAGATTCTCCAGTTCGGGTGACTATGAACACCACGTTGCCCCCTTCAATGCTAGGGGTGACTACGTTAAGCCCCTGAATCCGACAAAGTTTTAAATCTGATGCTGCTTTGCATGCACGTTGCATTCTTCTTTCAGCCAAGCACAGTAGTGCAAATGGTACCAAGGGCTGTATCGCATTCATTGGGACAATGCTGTTCAAACACTGCCTGTACGACTGCACAAAGACAATGCGATATACTCATTGGTTTGGCCTGGCGGGTCATCCTACCTTTCAGCAGTTAGTCATTCGTTAATACCTCCTCCAGTGTTCACACAACAAGACCAATACCCATTTCATCGTCATCAACTGGATGGCTGTCTCACTCGGAATCTCGGTGTTTTTCAGGATGCTGGTGCGTCACCCAAGGGGCTCATCAAGGCTCGCCACGTCAGCGAGGCATCTCCCGCCCCACCCCTGCTGGACGGCTCGGTGGTGGACCGGAACAAATCATGGCTGAAGCGTCTGACGGAGAGGTTCTTCTCCAGAGGCTCCGCGGCGACCAGTACGCAAACAGTGGTATGTGGAATTCTTCGCAGACACAAAGGGAACACTGACCAAATGCCCCCGTGTGAGTGATGCCTGCGAGACTATTGGAAACATCAACAGGCATACAGAAATATTCGTAGTGCAGCAGGATAGTACACAGTGATGAGCAGCAGACTGGACTGGAACTTGTAGTATGGGGTCAGCACTGCTGACTCAGCAGTAAGGCAGTGGAATTGCATTCGTAGAACCGATGAGGGGGTGCCTGTGGCGAAGAGACTGTGCATGAACCTTCCAAACGCGGTGCCACTCCCAGCTGCATGTGCGCATTCGCCACTTGAGGGCTGAGATATACCCTCAAGGCAGTTTGGCATCAAATGGGCGAGGCCAGAACGCAGAGCTGGATGGCTCCTCGTGGGGTTGTCACCAATGTCTCCACCGACATCAGCACTTTTGGCACCTGATGGAGCCACCAATCGTGATTGGCGTGGGGACGATGTGGTGTTGGCTTGCCTGCGATGGCAGAGCGTGCTGAAGGGGCATTGATGGGGCCGATGAACAGCTAATGTTGCTCCAAGCCGCAGTCACATCACACATCTGGCAAGTTCTCTTGTGGGATAATCAATGACTGACGTGCACGCACTGTGCTTCAGAGCTATTCCTCAATCGGCATCGACACAGTGTGCAATGAACTTAATGTGTTCACAGTCCTAAGGCTCAGGCGGCCGTCTCCACCGCCAATCTGCTTCCAGTTTGGTGAATTGCACGCTTCTCTGCAAATTGAGAAAACGGATGACTGTATTCGTGTCTGCATGCTCCGAAGTGTTGATGTTGCCCCTTCTTCCTTCCTTCCCAGTTGTTCTTCTATGCTTCCTTTTGCCGCTGGTTGTTCGGGTGCCAAAGAGGAATATGCGAGGGAGCAAATCTCTTGTCAATGCCGCACATGGAAGACACCGAAACCTTGCCCCCTGCTCGTTCCTTAGGCACCTCCATCTCTTTCCGAGGCAAGAGCAACGACTGAAGAAGCGAGCTACAGCTGCATGTCTTTCTCCATCTTCAAGCCCAAATGACAGGTTCACATCAAGGGTTGAACGGATTGATTTCACGACAAGGCAGCCCGTCGCTACAGCAAGTGGCGCATCCAAGTGGCTTTGGAGACCGGAAGATTCGGGCTTCGAAGGAACTTGTCGGTTCACCGACAGTACAATGCTTCAAGAGTGCTTTGTGATCATCGCTTCAGATGCCAAACAAGCGGTGGGGGTGGACAGGAATAAAGCAAAATGTGGCGTGGCTTGTGCTTCATAAGGCCCGCATGCCTGAAGAAAAGCCTGGCATTCTCTATTCCTTGCTTGGAGTACGATAAGTGGGGTAGACGGCGCTTCGAGTGCCCCTCAAGTACGGCCGTGAGGTTCTGTATGAGTCCAACAGTTGCTGCTGCCAGAGCACGTGTTGCAACATGGACATCTGCATCCAGTGCCTAACGGTGAACGGCGAGGTTATCCTCTCCAATGCATCAACAATTGTTGCTGCATGGCTTTGTTGCAATTGCAGATCCCTGGAAGACGAAATCAGGCTCATCGCACTGCCAAGGCGGTTGGTCGCCAACGGCCGGTTCCCCTGACGGTCTGCTTATTTCCCTCTGTTGTGTGCAAGACTTTACATTTGGAGCTCCCGACCAAGTGCTGGTTGGCAAATGTGGCACTGCCTGGGTCACTGAATTGCTAAACAAGTTGCGCATTTGCCTAAAGTGTGTGAGCTGAGTTAATCTAGCATACTGGAAACTCAATCCACCACAAGCCACAAGGACAGATGGCGGTGACAGGGCAATATTTGCGGCAAAAGCGACAGTGCAAGCTCAGCAATTCCCACCACCAATCTGGAGCTACAATATGGATCCGACGTTTATAATTTCTGCGTGCAGCTACACCATGTACCTCTCTGCAATCGGGTGATTTCAAGCAAATACTGCATTTACTTTCATACGGAGATTGAATACGACCCCTCAGGAGCTACGAACAATTCTCTGGAGCTACTGCGGTGCGGGTAGCGTACCAGCATAGGTGAAGCAGGAAATTAACAGACACACTACTGCATTAGGTGTTTTGCGTCTTTCTCATCCGTTTATGTCACAGAAACACCGTGGTGCGTTTGAAAGCAATTTTGGTTTAGCATAGAGTGGATATGGCACTGTGACACTGTTTTCGCTCATGAGGAGATTTGTGAATAAAAATTCAACGAACGAGCCGGTGGCCACAATCGTCGGACTCGTGTGACTCACCCAGCCATACAGATGCGGTAGCAAATGTCTTTCCCTCAGCAATAAATGCATGCATCTGGTCACTGCTGCCACTGTTGCCAGCAGCGGTGAAAGTCTATGCAATCGCAAAGACTGCCTGAACGTGTGTCTTGCAGCAAACCGGCACTTGGCATGTTTGCAATCGCTGACAGGCAGAGCACAACTCCATATTTCAAGACGTACCATGGAAGCTTCAACACTATTTTTAAAACCCCTCGCTGCTGGAACACGATGGCCAGCATGGAACAATAAGTCTATCTCACTCATTGGCATCACTCTCTGTGGAAGAAGTTGTTACCCGTTGGATGGGAACACCCGGATTATCCTTCAAGAATTCTTCCTCCCATTGTACCAATCGAGGCAGCAGTTCAGCACGAATGTCTGGTGCCATTCGTTCGAAGAAAAGCACGCCCTGGGGATCGAGCACAGAAACTGGAGTGAACTGACACAACTCATTCCTAGAAAAAACTGCAAAGGGCCAAGTCACAAATTGCAATTTCCCTTCATTAGCTTTTATCATACACCAACACAGCAGCAACACACATTTCAAGTGCATTTCAAGTACATACAGTTTGAAGCATGAAAGGATACATATGTAAATCGCAACAGTTGGTTTGTGGCTTGCAGGAACAACGTGCAGGGTAGCCCAGTCTATTGCCTGTTCACCCAGTATCCTTTCCCTCCTTGACCATTCTGGCAGCTGGCCTGGCTTTTCTCTGTTTACTGGTCTATTGTGGGCTTGGTATATAGGTAGAGAAGGACTTCAAACCCTACAGTGGTTGGTCACCTTTGTGTTGGAGTTGCACAGGAAAGTGGCGAACCACAACAGACACAGTGAAGGCTGCAAAACAGAGTAATCTCTTGTATAGGAGGCCCCTTCATGTGCTGCAACCAACAGCATTAGTAACAGCCACTCTTCCTGAAGGATGGGCACATGCTGGGTATGAGCACACTGACTCATCAACTGACAGATAAGAATTCGGGCCACAAGTTAGCAGCAACAATACATGGAATTCAATGGCTACTTCAGTGCCAGCAAGCGCTTTATAGTATCTATTTTCAGTGTAAGCAGCTATTAACACCAGGTGACACAGATGGAATGGCAACAGGGCAGCACAGAAAATCATCGCAAGTGGTATTCAAGGCATACCTGGAGGTGGTCAAACTCATGCTGGAATATGCGGGCAGCCAAGCCATTGAGTTTCAACTCGACCTTTGCTCCATTTACATCCCTTGCTTTAACTTTGATTCCTGTTGACCGCTGTGCAATGCCCACAGTCAATATCATGCCCAGCATGCAACCATTGGGCAAAAAGGAGAACAAGAATTAGGTCAGGATGGTTTGAACATGTGGGCAACCTTGGTGAGAACTTGGCTTGTCCTTTCTCTGTGGCCAATGCCAAATATATTCAGAGATATCGCAGAAAAGGATATTCTGGATTTGAGGTTGGAAAGAACAGATGGCCGCTTGACGATGGAGCTGCCAAGAAAATGCTGTGCCGATCTGCCAAACCACCAAACCAAACATGCAAAGATGCAGGCATACTTCTTGAACGGGGCAGCACCAGAACACGCGGAAGCCGGAAGGCCATGCATCTATGGCTATCAAGTTGGCAGCAGCCCTACACCAAGAACCATCAATATACATCCATGGCACGACTTTCTGTTGGAGTCTGTGAGAGTGTGGCAGACAATGTTTCTGCATATGCAGTGCCTGTTGCACAGTCTCAGCGTTTGCCCACAGGCTTCCCCAAAAACAGTGCAATGGCAGCGGTTTGTATCATGCTCTTGACAAATCTAATCAGTGGGGAATTGCATGCACATTCCATCGCAGGAACAGCAACCTTCAGCTCCCCACTGAGTATTTCATGTGCTTTCCATCGGCTGCAGCTGTCCACTACATCCACGAGACCAACAAGTTTCATATACATCTTTTTTTGGCTAACAAGGGTGCACCCAATTAGACACACAAAGGAACACTGAAAGTTTCGAGACAGACTTATTCAGCAAATATATCTCCTACTGCCTTGAAGATGCACAGACAGTGCTTTTATGGTACTGGAAAATGCAATCAAGCCCTTATGCACAAACTAGTTGTGGATGTCCTTTCAATATCGGCTGCGGTGTTCTGGTTGACAACGCTGCTCCTTTTCAGCCAACGAGTTTCAAGTATCTGAATATATCAGAAGTTCCAATAGCGATTAATGGGGCCACAACTCTTTTTACGTGTGCCAGTGAACAACAATGCAGCACAAACTGGTGGACCCACTTTGGGTGCTCACAAAAAAGGAGGACTGTTGCTAACCCTGCAAGAGCAGGTGGTGCATACTTAAACTGTTCTAGCAGCAGAACACTGGCAGCATTGCCACCACTGGTGCATAGCTCAGCCCTACCTCAACGTCTCCAAACATTTGAGGGAATGAGAGGCAGCCCTCCTCCTCTACAGCAGTGTTCTTGCTGAACTTTACAATGCGGGGATTTATGAGCACCTTCTCCAGTTCAGGGTCACCCCTGCCAACATGGCCCTCAGGGTTGAAAACCATCATCTGGATGTTCACCCCAACCTGGGGAGCTGCCAGCCCTACCCCATCGTCACTGCAAACATGGGCATAGCTGTTAAGCTAAGGAGAAACAGCCCAGTTGGCATCTCCCTTCCCCCCCCTCCCCCGGGAAATTTGTTTGAGGCTCTTGCATGCCAATAAACAAGAATCCCAAGCCTTCCAACCTAAATCTAAGCAGATGTCCATACTCAAGGTATCAAAAATCAACAGCTTTCAAAGATGAACATGTTGGGAACATTTTATTCGTGAAGAGCAACCAACATCGTCCAAAATGAAAGGGCAGTGATTGGTCGTGTTCCTGGCCACCTAAGTCATTAAGAATCTATGTGTAACAGGGAAAAATGCCAGGTATCAGAAGTGGAAATTCCTGGGCAAACACGCGAGGATCTGTGAACAGCACAAAGCCAACCAATACACGATTTGCAAGCATCTCTGTATCCAAGCAATGCAACTGCAGTCGACCAAAGAATATGAAAGGCCAACACCAAATTTGGCTGCTGCGCTGCGATTGCAGCAAAGTTTGCAGCAACGATTATGAAGAGACAACCATGTACAAGGCACAACAAGAGACTTCATGCAAAGCCTCTCACCACTTAATCATGACTGCAAGATAGATGTGCATATCAGGTGGAGGATTCTTGATGCAAGCGCACTTTTTCTAAATGATATAGTACATACAACAACACTCAGCAGGTACTTCCAATGCCATGAACTGGGTATGATACTTGTTTTGTGGTATTGCTGTGGTGCCACAGCAAGCAGTGTGCAGCAGCAGCCTTAATGCCTGGAAGCCCACAAGCCCCAAAGTGCCCAACTCGACACTGTGCAGATCATTGTCCCACCTGTACATAATCTCAAACATCTCTGCGGCCAGCTCCTTGATGCCTGTTGCTGGTTGGTTGACTGCCGCACAGGGCGCTCGGAGGCTGGGATCAGGGTATTTGACGATTCGAAGGGGTTTGCTGAAGGCGATTTTGTCCACTGCGACACATAGTGCCCCTCAGCACATGTCCTTGGAGTTGAAGATATGTAACATGCTATGTGCCCATCATTTGCTTCAGGTGCCAGGCATTGTTTGTCAGGGACTGGCAAACACAATCAAATGGAATGATCCAGCTCAAGTGTAGATAAAGTGGATGAAGTATGCACAACGTTGCCTTGCAGATGCAAGGGCGGTGCTGTACAATTCTTTGCCAAATGCAACCACAAGAATCAATCTGTACACTTGTATCGCAAGCCCACTTCAAAGGCATTTCCAGCACAGCAGAATCTGGTGCACTAGGGCTGTATTTCGGCCAGAAGCATCTCTTCCATATGTTGCTTCGATCAATCGATATTCCATCATGGCTAATCAGCACTACACAGGGCTATTGAGTGGTGCAGTTGAAACAGCAATGCTGATTGGGTCAATTGCTGGCGAATTTGACCAATGCATATTGTGGCTTCATATTCATATATGCAAGGGAAAACCATTGCCAAATACACGAAATCAGTCAGAGTGGCTATGAAAGTAAGGCTTTACATTTCAACATCAAGCCGCACTCATCATGCAATCACTATTCTTGGGCATGCATCGTTCTTGGGACTGTGACAGCAAGCCCAAGAGAAGCCCCCCCCACACACAACCAGTCGCCACTACAATAATCTCACCTGTTGTGTTTTTGTGTACCCAGCGACATTCAGACGTGATCATTTGCAGCTTTTGCCTGGTGTGCGCATGGTCATAATGGTATTTACAATCCCAAATGCTCTTGAGTTCCCATTCGACCGTCAATGTGGTAAATCGGTTCCAACTCTGAGCTGACACATGGAATCGGACACATTTGTCCTTATGCCTTGCTGAGTTTGTGCACATTGTTTCCAGAGTACAGTGGTGTGCATGGAGTGGGCTCTGGACACACACTGATGGTGTTTGCTTTTGAGTAGGCAAACAGGTATATGTACTGGAGTGTACGGCACTTGATGTCAATCTCAGGTAAATACCTGGCGAACAGGTGCAATTGCAGTGCATATCATATGTCATGAAATAGCCTCCCACTAGCTCAAATAGAGCACGTGTACACTCTGTGGAGAAGCTGTCCTCTGCAAGTTCTGATACTGTGGACAAGCTCTGAGACTCCGATGGTGCTGATGCCATTCATTCGATCAGAAAGCTCAAGGCGCCTTGGATACGGAGGGTGGGAAACCTTTCACTCCGTAGGGCAACATTCACCAGAACTTGCTCATCTGGACACCACATCCAGGTTCGCGTCCTGGTATTGCCACCTGTGTCCTGCTGCTTACTTCACACTAAGCTACATCCAGCTTGCCCTAGATGAGCAATGCAGCTGGTTGTGCTACTGGCACCTTGCACAGTATCTTGGCAACGTTGTGTGTTGATAGGCCTTTACTCAGGACCCTCCAGCTCACACCTGCCAACCTTATCAAAGCAATAAATTTGGGTGTGCGCTCCGACTGCTTCTGCCAGCCACACGCCAGTCTGTTGTTGCATGGCTGTGCAACCGTCGATTACTAAATCACCATCTTCGACGTCACCAAAGTCTCAAGACTGTCTTTGCAAGGTGGCAAGATGCACTTTGTGAGCCCCATTCCTTGTCGTCTTCTTCAGCAACAAACGCCCCAGCTGTCACAATTTTTGGGCGATGGGATTGTTGCAAGCCACCGGCAGAACGTGGCCTTCAACAGGAACCTTAACAAAGGCCCAGAATCGAGCGAGAGAACACCAGCAAACGCTCTGGCAGTCAATGCAGAGGCAATCATGCCCGCCATCATCTTGCATCGGCAGTGCATGGACTGTGCATTGGCATTTTCGGCACATGCAATCAATGGTTCCATGCAATCCTAACAAAAAGAAAAACACCAGTCTCAATGGGCCGACTGAGCCCCCGCCTGGCGAGGGCAATCCACATTCGCGTACAATCCCTACATCGTCTGATAGTCAATGGGTTAGCGCTTCCACGCTTTTGGGTAGCTTGCAATCAAATGCGGACCCACACCCACCCGGGGGCGCTTCCAGGTCCTTCGTTCGCTTCTCCTCCAGCAGCTCCTCGAGAAACATGGCGCCCCGCCGCGCCCTCCGCAAAACCTCCTCCCCGCGTCGCCGCCTCCTCAGCAACCCCAACCTTGTCAGGGCCGGCCGCAATCCATGAACAACGGGCGGGATCGCATCGCGACGGCCCGGCTGGGCCCCGGGAGGTCGCCGGCCGGCGCCGGCGAGGCTGCGCATGGCTCGCTGCCCCAAGCGCAAGGGGGCGCGCATGGAGACGCGAGGGTGGGACGGCCCCAGAGGAGCAGGCTGGGTTCCCAGTTGAACGCTGCGGACATGTGGCGACCGGAACGCCTCGGATGTACCAAAGCACTACTACCAGTAGTACTTGAGCACTTAGGCAACACGAAATAAGAGACACTACTTCAGAAGCACGTCTTCTTCGCTCTGTTTCAGTACTGCAAAATGTTGAACCCTTCCGCATTGGTCCCCAAGGGCCGTGACGCTTTTGCTCCGCAATTTCGTCCCGGAGCGTTACTTTGCTCCGCATCTCCGCAGTGCAATCAGCTGCAATACTGGGCCAAGACTCATGCACCCAGGGCCGCGAGATGCTGTGGGGCAGTCGAAAGACTCTCGTGTCATGGCTGCGTCTGGTTTAGCCACGGCAGGGGCAATTTCCAGACGACTTTCGGGTGCAGCGAGGGCACCTAACGGCTCCATGGGTTGCTTGTCCCAAAGCCACCTGGAGCATTACCAACATCGGCTGCTCCACATTTCCCTCCAGCACCGTTACATTTTTATTCACGGCTCCGCGAAAAAGGATCCAGCGTTACGTTACTATGCGGAAGGGTTTAATATACTACGGTGTTTCGCTGTCTGGAATTCGTCGTCCGCTGTAGAGTTGATTGGATGGGGCCATCAGCAACTTGGGAAAGGCTCAATGGAGGTGCTGCCCAAGCACGGTCCGTGCTGCCTTCATGCAATCTGCATTCTGCCTAACACCGCTGTGCAAGTGAGTAGCCAACGGCATACTGACATGCAAATTGCAAGCGTATCACCAAAATCGCAAAATTGTACAAGTCCGTATGTCCAGACAGCAAAATATCGCTCATATCTCTGTGTCAAATACTGTTGTGCGTGCATTACAGAAATGGGACGAGAGCGGCATGTACATGGGTCTGCGAGGAGCTTTCCTTGGTCGATGAGTCTGGTGGGGCTCCGACCACCACCATGGAAGTCCCACACTCAGCACAAACACTGGCGCCATTCACAGGACGAGATTCGAGATTGGTGACAGAGTTTGGGGCTTGCAAGCTTGGGACAAAGTCACAGCACTTTCTGGTGTTCATACTCCACGTACTCTGGACACCGCCCAAAACAGGAATCACATAAGCTTAGCACTTCTGAAATGATGAGATGAATTGGCAGTGAAGGCATTGGCACTTTTACTTCGTGCATCACCCCATGCCCTTCTGCACATGTTGCGCCTTTGTTTGGACTTTCTGCTCACAATGCTGGATCCCAGGTGGCACCTGCCTTGCTGGTATTTGTGCCAAGAATAGCATATCATTTGATATCACCCAAGATGAGAAATCGTTCTCCAAAGTCACGACAGCTTTTGTAATAGTGAACGGCAGTGCAACTGTGCTGAAAACCTGCAGCAATACCAGCAATGCGACAATTCAATGTGCAGGGCACAATGCTGCAACCATCGCTAGTACGCCACATTTAGTCTTGATCCTTGGTGGCAGTTCACTTCAAACTATCAGCTAATTGTACAGCACAGCCCTGCCCTCGGCAACATTCCCGCCTCCATCAAATAAATCAGTCTATGGAACATGATTCTCTTATCACCATCTAGATGGCAACACATGCCACTCTATTTGGTGAACGCCCCACCTGCACAGCATTGCAGCAACACAAGTGGAAAGGTTCTTGCCCTAAAATCGCACGAACTTGATATAGATGCAGCTATCCACCGCCATTGTGTCGCATGCTTTCACTTAAGGGTACCACTGAGCCACTGGCTCACCCTCAGAGCGCCCTTTTTTCCAGCCAAATGTGTGGCTACTCCAGCACCTTGTGTGTGCAAGTAGCAGCCCAAATTACTCAGCTCCCCATATTCAATCTTCTCCTTCTTCTTCGTCGTCATCATCCTGAGCGAACATCGGCGTTGGCTGTGTCTTTTTGTATGCCGCGGTGAACGCAGAGAAATCCTCCTTGCTGTGCCGAAGGATGGCCTTTCGTGGGTCTTGCTCCTCCTCCACGGGCACCATCTTGCCCTGAACAGGAACACAATGGGCATCTCTTTTTGTGAACACCACGGCAGGTCAGCGTCACAGTGCTTGTGGAAAAGAAACCGCAAGGGGCCTCATCTACTATGAACCAGAAGGGGCAGGCTTTGTTCCAATGCCATGCAACGTTACTGTGCCTCTGTAACAGTGTTGCACCAAGAGTATGGCATGCAGTCTTCATGCCCATGCACTGGATCCTGACAATATCGTTCACATGTGCCGCGTTGCAGGACATTGATAGCATACCAAGCACACTGACTATCGTCAAGGCATGTTCCACAGCTGACAGCTAACGGGTAGCTGCATCCAATGCCTGACGTACAGATACAGTGGAGGGGTTTTGCACCTGGACCATGTGGAACAATCCCAAGGAAAAAATCTTCCAATAATCCAACTTGCCAATGTGTTTCACCACCACTGCATGAGCCATGAGAATGATTTATTGAGGGATGAATGCAAGCAATGATTTGGATCATGTTGCCTTGCATTGCTTCAAGTGGAAGCATACAGGCAACACTCAGGATAACCCATGCCAAATGCAGTGAAAACCTCAAACCTCAAACAACCATTAGCAAGGAGCACCACGTGGATCTGCAGCTGGATGTTGCCAGACATCCACCAAGATCAACAAACATCCCAGCAGGCAATGGACATGACACAGTATGGCCTACAGCACCTTGTTGGGTCCAGCAGGCAGTGGACATAGCACAGAATGCCCAACAGCACCTTGTTGTTGGAGGCAAAAGCTTGTACTTCCCAGAAACAATCTAATTGACATGACCAACCACTGCCCTTGCAGTTTTCCAGGGAATGGCAAGCAAGTTTGCATCCACAATGACTGTTTGACAACCTTTGTCTCTCCCAGACAAAACAAGACAAACAACAGCGTGCCCTGCTTTTCAGAACCACGGCTTTTGCAAGCCAAAACCAGTCATGCAGTAACTCCGCTGTGGTTCAGCCACGCTGGCAATGTACAGGCGGCACGGCCAAACTGCAAATTCTGAGATAAGGCTCTCATTGTCGACAAGACCCCTGTGTGCTTCTGCTGATCATGCGATTCATTCCTTCGGGAGCATCCTGCCTTACACTATCCCCCCAAATGGGATGACCACCACAGGTCTTCTGCTGGGACAGAGGCCGTGCCCAAGATTTCCAATCCGATGTGCAACTTTGGAATAAGAAACAATGCTTGTAATATTGGAGAAAAGAGGCAAAGGAACAGAAAAGCAATCAGAGCCATCGCACCCCACTATCAAGCAAGCATCACATGAGCAGAAATCGAGGATAGGGAAATCACCAGGATTCTGTGAAAAGCAGCTCACCTTGTGTTTCAGCAGGTATTGTGTCAGCAGTGTCCCCCCTGTGGCACCTATTCTCCCCCCCTTTCCGACCCCGGCCATCATCCCCGAGTCTGGCCGCTTGGTCTTCACCGGATCCCCTCGATCCTTTTCCCTCTGCCGTTTTTTGGAGCGAGGCTCCCTGTACATGGGCAGGGCATGGGGATTGTGGATGATGACGGGTGCCTCAAAGTCGAAGCCCACCCGCCTCCTGGGCGCCTGGCCCACGCACAGCAGGGCGCCACGCTCACTGAAGTCGGGATTGTACAGGATGCTTGTCTGCCCAGTGGATCGACCTCCTGTTCAGTGCAACGTAACATGTGCATGTGTGAATTGAGTCAGGAAAAGTCCACTGGAGATGCGATGTTTAGGAAGCCATGAAAACCAATCCTCAGTGATGCCAATTTGCAAACACTGCAAGCAAAGGATCTGGTACGCACACGCAGTTCTCCTTCTAGTCTTGCCCATTGGTTCAGCAGAACGATATAGAATCCCAATCAGGACATGAACCAATAGATTGTAGATATTTGGATATCAACCAACACTAGGCAGAGATCATGCACTCAGAAACGCCAACATTCAATGTAACCAATCAACAACAACAATCGCAGATTCACACAGTCACCAGTGCACTCCTGTACAGGGCTGCTTTTGTGCTACAAAGGAAAATAGGGTCCAACAATTGTCTGCAGAGCAGCGGACTCCAATGAACAAACTTTAGCCATAGTAGAGATTTGAAATTTGAACGTACCCATGCCCACAAGGATCTGATTCAGCTTGGGATGCCACAGGACAGGCACCACGCTCTCCGCCATGGCAACCTTCCGCACAACCTCGCCCCTTTCCAGATCCACAAAGGCAACACCACCACTTCCTGTGCCATCGTCAGACAGGCCTGTCACCGCCAATGTCTCGGTGGGACTCAAACAGCAGCCCGTGGAGCTCTGCATGTTTGTCAGGCCATCTAGGACAAGGCGTGGCGTGCTGAATTTCCGAATGTCCCACACCTTAAATAAAACACATGAACAATAACATTTAGTCAACAATCTATTCCATGAAGGGATCCAGCTGCTGAAATCCCTGGCTGCAAATGCAGATTTGGACACAGAATGGTGTCAGGCAGCAACCACGCACCCGAGCGAGAACACAAAGATTTGCTATGAAGTGAGAGGGCAACATGTCAGTGCTCACGGCCCCCTTGAGAACCTTCAAGGTCAACAGGTTCTGGTTTGCCCTGAGAATGCAAGTGTTAGTATATTCACTACACAACTTCAGCTTGCAGTGCACTGCCCTGGAAAGGAGATCATGATTATTGTCCCCTGTTGCCAGCCTCAAGGCGATGATGAGCTCTCTACATTCCATTGCTTGCCCCAGTATGTTGATTTACAACTGTGAACACTGCATTGTCAGGTAATTCCCCTTTCGGACATACCATCAAGGAAACATGCCAGCTGCCATCCACAGTGTGCAAATGCACACTGTGGATGTATACAAGCCTGACATCACCGGCAAAGTGCAAGCCCATTGTTTGCCCACACACACAATTGCAATCAAAGCAGATTCATGCACAAGAGAAGACACTAACCTTCAGGGTGTGGTCCATTGCCCTGGAGAGGAGAGTTTGCCCATCGTGCCCGAAGCACAGGCTGGTGATGTCTGCTTCTGCAGCATGGGCGTCCCTCATGATGGAGGCGGCGCGTGAGACCACTGTCCAGGTCTGTTTCTGGATCATCTGGGCCTTTGGGGGTTGGACCTGTGAGCGGAAAGTGTGGGAAATCCTTCAGCCTGCACTTCATATTCCAATGAAATAGCGGGATGCTGCCCAAAAGAACTTGAAAGCACTGAAACAAGTCCTCATCGACTACCTTTGCTAACAATATGACAACACTTTGCCCTTCCTTCACCTTCTAACACGTGTTTGACATGTATTAATAAGTTTGTCTTCAGCAGCTTGCCATCGGTTCTGTGCACACAGTTCCTTTCCTGGAAGTGACCCACATCGCCCGTACAGCAGTGCATTGTCATATACTGAACATTGAGATCATTGTGGTAATAAAATGCATTGAGGCCTAGAGATACATCTGAAAATCACTTTTGATTTTCAATTCTCCTTGGCACTCCTGCATGGCCCAGTGAAGTATGAGTCCAAAAACGTGCACACACACATTTCAGTTGGGTAGTGATCCTAATTTCCAAAATGAGATTCACAAGGATCGTCATGTTAGAGATCGAATTGAGGCAGAGTCCTGATGCTACTTCAAGCTGTATTTCAAGCAATTGTAGTGACGAAATTCCATACACACGTCTATGCAACGTCGCATTACAAACAACAACACAACCCACTGCACTTTACTGAGGTGACGGAAGGCCTACATCTACTCTATTAAGATGGACAGTGCACCTGGCTTCTTAACTCTGATGCACTATCTTTGGAGTAAAGGGCAAAACAATCATACAAATGTATCCACATGGACTGTCATGGGAGGTGACACAAGGGCGACATCTCATGGTGCTTTGATCACTGCCAGGGGCTCTGAAATTTTGAATTAAACAAAAGGCAAATGCAGCCACTGTAAGTTCTCACCATTCCCACAGCCGCTGACACACCAAACTTGCCAGAGGCACTCCACAACTGGATCGACCCGTCCCGAAGGCCACCTGCGATCAACCCCCCGTCATGGCTGAACGTGCAGGAGGTTACAGCCACCCGCCCGGGCTTCCTGAGGGTTGGTTTCACCACGCTCTTCTGTACCAACTCCATTGTGTCCCATAGCCTACAGAACACATAATCTCCTGCGTCCTTATCGCCAACAAGACGACAAATTGGGCACTCCTTTATCTCTTTGGCCAGGAAAATTCTGCCCTCTGTATCATTGCACCTCGCATGCTCTGCTGTGGTGACAAACGCAGTGCAGATTTGTATAAGCACTGCCAATAAGACTTGGTGCTCACAAGGTCTGATGCACTGTGATGCATGACTGGCAGCAATGCAGGTCGTTGCACTTGCATATGGCAGGAAATGTCAGCTGCCAACACATTAGGATGCTTATTTCCAGTGCACGCATTATTCCCTCACCCAACACAAGGTATCAATGGCTCAGGCAGGGTTCTCTCAAAATATGGGTGGAGAGGTTTGAGACAAAAGAGAAATGGTCCTTCAGCCCATCTTTCACAAGATACGCAAATTTACAGAAGCAGCACTGTGTGTTGTTGGCAAGCACCTGCCATCGCCTATGAACAGCAAGGGCACTGCTCTGCACCTTGAGCAAAAGCAGTGTGTGTGTGTGTGTGCAGAACTTCTCCGCAACATGTCAGCGATGTCATGGCTGGGGTTGAAGGAACACAATCCATACCCAGGAATGGTGTGCATATGGAATGCCAGCAACAAGCGCTGCACCGACAAATGACAAGGAACCCTACTTGCACTGGAGAGTGTGGGTGACACGTGTATATTGGGAAATGTTTTGTTTGGCGCACAGTGGACAGGAACAATAGAATTGGGAGGATTCGACACGCATGACATTCTCTGTCACTGCTTGTGATTTGTCTTATGACAACACGTAGAACCGCATGTTTCACGCACCACGGGATCCCCTGCACTCTAGAGTGCAGAAACAGCATGGAGGCAATAACTGCAACATCACAGGCACAATCGCCTGGGTTTCCATTGTGTCACAAAGGTGGTGTCCCATTATATGGCACACATCACGATTCAGGTGTTTGGGGGCAATCGCACTTGCCTGAGAGTGCCATCGTCTGAGCAGGTGAGGGCAGTCGCCCTGTCGTTGGGGTGCCATTTGCCAGAGGTCAGCCCGCTTACATGACCCTTCATGTTCAATCAGATCAGTGTCATAAAGGCATTGCAGCAGGACTGTCACAAATCACAGGGTCTAGAACCGAAGGTTTGCTGCCTTATGAAAGGGAGACTGCCCAAGGAACCACTTGCTGCCTTTCAATGTTCCAAAGTCCACAAGCTGAAGAAAGAACACAAGGCGAGGCCGAAAACATGACAACAAAGCGATAACACGCATTGGGTAAAGCCAATGAGAGGCTTTACTCATCTCATGCTGTGCCTTCATCACCAAAGGTTCTAATGAATGGGGATACACCCCCTTGTACTACTACAATGCACCATCAAGGAGTGGACGGAAGATATCTTCCATCAATCAACACTTAGATCACACGACACTTCAACAGAAAGGTTGCGCAGCCCATGGCAGATACCTTGGTGTTCTTCATGTCACGGATGTACATATCCCCCCTCACAAACTCCCCCAGTACAAACCCATTCCTGTCGTAAATCTTGGCAGTGGCAGCGCCCGTCACCACCAGGAAACTGTCCCCTGAGGGGCTGAAGCTCAGGGCCATGACTGGGTGACCTTCAGAGGGCTCAAGGTGCCTACAAATGTGCACACATCAACAACTTGGCGCACTTCTTTCTTCCACTCTTTCCTCCGGTTCAGGTGGACAATGTTGGTTGCAGACTCAGTGGGTGAGATTCGAGTTCGCAACACATCAAGGCATCCATTTGCATGGGATGGAGACACGAAACTTTCTTGTGCTGATGCTCCCTGTAATCAGATCAACAACAACAGCTGGCCTCAAGAGCCTGCAAACAACGACCACAGCCGATGTCCAGGCTGCATAACAGCAGCACCACTGTAGTCCACTTTCTGATCTGCACATGGGTTATGCTTCTGCGACTGACACTCTGTCTGGCAAATTGTCCACTGTTGCTGTGCTGCAGTAAGAGAAGTGGTGATATCTGTATGTGCTTTGTCGGTGGCAGATTATACTTACTGTGCTTCCACGACATGGTACAGAATCACCCTATGATATATTCTCCAGGGCCAACAAACCCTAGGGACAAGACATGAACTTTGACAAAAATGTGCTTGGGACTTTGCCCGACATCGACAATATGGTGAAAGGGCATTTGCCCAGGATTTTGCTGTGGAAATGGTCAAACTGCACAAGATATTGCATAGGAAAGCTTGTTGAATCTGGAGAGCAATCATTGCGCGTCAGTCGAATTTCCAGAATACAACCAACATCAAAGGTGCAGCGTCCAAGCGCCGACCTGCTGCAGACCATGTGCTGTAGATTTTAGACCTTTGGGGAAACAAGGCTCAACGACACCAGGTTGAGCAACGCAGCGGCCTCCACGTTAATCCGAGTTGTGCACAATGCCGTGGACTACACTAGGCAAAGCCTTTCCCAGCACCCTTGAAGTGCGCATAGACTCTCAGGTGACAACAGCTGTGTGGGAGTTTGTTCCACAAGCACGCTGACCCGCCAGACCACATGCATTTTCCTTTGCTGCGTTGCTTCTCTATGCCGCCCAGTGCTCAATTTGCACAGGTTCATACCTGAAGCTCTTCAAATCGCTCTTCATGCCGTTGAAATCATACATCTGGATGTGATAGTCATGAGATCCTGTGATCACCCTGGACCCTGAGTGCTCCACATCGAGAGCTGTCACAACCTTCTGGTGCCCTCCGAGGATGGCCTCATGCGTCACTGGCAATGTATAAATATCCTCGTCGTCCTCATCACTGTCATCTGCTTGCGATCCTGTAGATAAGAATGGCAATCTGTTGGGCTACTTTTGCCAATCATTACAACCAAGCCAATGCGCCCGCAATGCGAAGATAAATCAGCAGGAAGAACAACCTACTAGGCGATCTTGAGTGTTGACTACAATGCGTGAGGTGTTTCCAATGTACTCCTTTAAACTCTCCACTGAATAGGCCAGCAGTGAACTATTGTTACCTGATAAATACATGCACATCATTTGCTTCCTGACCAATACTTTAACAGCAGTGATGCTCCCAATTATATTATGTCTATGCTGGTGAACTGGTGTGGTTACAAAACCAAAAAAAAGTACACAGCAACAACCATCAATGCACATAAGAGTAGCTTTTGCTAGGCACCAGCATAGTATGCCAATGCTCATCGCTCTCATCTGTGGTTCATTCTACAACAACAACCTACATAGCAACGATGATCCTGAAGGCACAAACAACTGCATCATTGACCACAGCTGCCTTTGTGTATGGTTGCAACTGCTCACAATATGCAGCTGCAGCCATTGCCACATGTTTAACCAAACAAGGACTGGCATGCAAAGCTGCAAGTTCCATCATCTTTTGCTCTGGATCGCAAAAGACCATAAACCTTCCACTACTTTTCATCAGTGGCGACACATCCCTCCCCAAGACGTGACGAAGGGGAACATGTTCATTCACACCACATTGTCCCAACGTGCTCATGAAAGCAATAAAACCCTTAACCTATGCTCTCCCTTGCATTCTGCAATAGAGTTTGTGGAGGAAAGCAAACTCGGCTGTAATGCTGTTCACACAATTCAAGTTGACAGCATTGCACATTGTGCTTGGCGCCAGTGTGCAGGCTCTGCATCACCTGATGGGTGCGAGGGGCAGGGATTCTTCACAATCAGATATATGCAATCAATGCAGATTTACACTCAATGCTGTCCACAAAGGATGCCCTACCTCATCCTGTTACCTGCAGCAGGTAGCTGCGGACCCACAAGGTCCTCTTCATTGGCATCGTCCACATTGTCCGAAGCATCCATTTCTGGCAAAGGTGGCCCAACCATTCCCTTCATCGAGTCTTGAGGAGGTTGAGGTCTTGACTCATGGATATTTGGGCCGTCTGTGTTTCTGCCCTTTTTCCTTTCTGGCCTTTGCAACTGATCATGAACCAACTCGAGTCGCACCGCTGCTGCTTCTTGATGGCCTGCAAGTGTGGAATGGAAACAAGCTCGCCACAGGTGACCCATAGAGATGCCATCAGCTGTCTGGGCTTCTTGATCCCGAGCAGGGCAGTCTATGAGATACTGCCACAGTGCTTCCAACATTCATGGCAGCCACCCAGTGAAACTGAGGGACTGAACTGCAAGCATCAATTACAGCTACTGAAATGATTCGAGTTGCTGCTGCTTTCTGAAATGGACATAGGTAACAGGGCACCACTCAATTGCACCCTTTCCCAACAACGAACAAACCTCCTTAAACAAACCATGCCAATGAGATCATAACTTCATCGGTTTGCGGGTACCAAGGCTGACATGTAGTTGTTGAGTCTTATTCACAGGAATAGCTCACCCCCCTCACTGCCTCCTCAAATCTCTGGCCAGTGACTACACTGCCTGTAAGGCAAATGGAGCAAATTCTGTCCATTCTTCTTTCCACAGCTACTATGGGCTATTCTATGATGGGTTATTCTATGATACTGGAATTGGTACCCTTTCTTCCCTTCATTCGCAGTCAGCAGAAATGCAGTCAGCCGGTAAGCATTCATGCACTTCAGTAAGGCATCTGCACAAATACACTTCTGCCTCTGCAGCGACTCGCTCAAATCCACTTTGGTGGCCATTGCCATGCAACATTCCAAAGCACTGCCCTTGCACTGCTGAGGCAACATTGAGCGCAGAAAGCAGCATGCCTATATGAAAGCAGCCAGATCATCGCCTCACATTGCACATATAGCATTCGAGAAGCACTGAAGGAACCAATCGCAACTCTGTCACAGCAGGCTAGTCTGCAAAGGCACCAACTGTAAACAAAGACTCACCAAATGTAACAGGAAACTGAGACCTGAGGCTGTCAGCAAACAGCTCTGCTTCATCAACAAGCACCTGCCATGAGACAGCAGACACAGAAAGGCTGATCTTGGAAACCTCTGTCTAGTTCCATGCACAGGTGGCTTTGTCACTGCCATGTTGGTGCACCATAAACTCCCAGGCAGCGATTACTGTCAGGGTGACAGACAGGCCATACTGACAGGTATACATCTCCCAAACAAATTCCACAGTTTGATTGTCAAAACTGAAAGAGGCTGTGCATGAGTCTTCAACTGAATGCAGCAAGGTGCATTGAAGTTGCATTGAGAAGCCAAGAGTGCAGAATGGAATGGAGGGCGAGAAGCCTGGGGCCTTGCATGCGCAGGTGTTCGGTGTCACATACAAGGGGACTTCAAGTCAAAGTCCTTGTGAGCCAACAGTCGACCTGTGCCTGAATTTGCTGCTGTGATTGGCGAGGACTGCTGTAATCTAGTCCAGGCATTCTTCCAGCCCACTCCATTCCATACCAACAATTTCTGTCAACAATAAGGGATTGCGATTCAAGGCTGTCTGCGTATTGGAGTTCTACTGGCAGGGGGCAGAGGCACAACAATTTTCAGTGTTGGTAATACAATTATGCCAATTGAGAGCAAGAAGTCCACCCTTACCCTCTGGCAGCAAGTCCAGAGTGAACAAAATGAGCATGCGACTGTACCCAGACGTCACCTAAGGCATGGCTGCACCCCAACCTTGTTGAGATTCCGGGTTGGGACCAGCAGCAGCTGAAAGGACATCTGCTCAAGTCTGCTCAAACCTGCACACAACTGACTGGACACCAAACAGCACTGCTATGAACACTGCAGTTCTCAACTCTGCCAAACTTGGGACTAGAATTGCCGAATAACTGCCAAGCTGCCCTGCAAAAATGCCTTCAGGATTGGCGTACCGGTCCATCCTCATTGCGCTGCATTTCTCCCTGAGCATCATTGCCTTGCCCACAGCCCATCAACCGGTTATCCCGGGATTCAGAATCGTGGCTGTATGACACACCAAACTGTCACCATGGACTGGTCTCCAAGCTGTGCGTGGAAGACCTGACACAACGAGGATGGGCCCAGTGTCCAATAATTCGTCATAAAGAGAGCAAACTGCATGCCAGGCACCCACAACTTGGTTCAGGGCAGTCTCAGCTGGGCTCTGAGACAGCACGGAATCCACCGGCACCATCAAATCTGTCCCAGAACAATACTATCTTATGGAACGAAAGATCACGTTGGAGGACACAAGGTGGACGGCTTGCGAATGTTGTGCTTTCTTCTTGCCTGAGCGTCTTCGTCAGCCAGAGAACCTTTGGATGCAAGTGAATCTGGAAAAGGTAGGCACTACTAGGCAGGCACTCGCAATTGTTTCATGGTGTGTGCAAAGTGTGCTGGACCCTGCACACCAATGCCCCCATCTACCCTTCGAGCAAAGAAATGGAGAGAATGGTACCATCAACTGGATGCGGCAACATAAACAATGATTTTGTACAAGGGGCCCTGTGCTCCCAGTGGTGAATGCATGCAGATCAAAGAACTGCTGCAAACTCGACCACAATCAAAGCATTGAGTTTCAACGAAACCCGACGCCATCCAATCCACCATGCCAAAACGCGCCACAGCAATTGGCAGGTGCTGAATTAAGCTCTCCGTCTGCAGCGCAGTGCAGCAACCATGTGGGTACTACTTTCAGTGTTTTTTTGTTTCGGCCACTCGCCAAATCTGTGCTATGGCCGTTTGTGAGCGAACTCTTGTGGCGGGTTACGCTACCCGACAACGCCCAGAAGGTGCAAGGGCAGCCATTTGGCGCTGATCGATGGATGCAATCTGCGAAAGTGAAGCAATTCCCCTGGGGCTTCCCTCCAACCAAATAGGGCAGCTCGCCGACAAGTCTTCCAGACAGTCCGCGGCATCGTGCGCGAGTTGGGCACCTTGGCGGACTTGCTGCTTCTCTCTCCCGACGGTGCTGCCTCTGCGCCGCACGCCACTGCAGGACGGCAACCCCGTGTAAGAGACAGCCAACCCGGCAAAAGAACCGGCCATCGACGCCCCTCCGCCGAAGCCAGACAGCCGCTCACCCCGCCCGCCGGCTCGCCCGTCCGCTCCGCGCGCTGGGACCTGAGCCCGGCCAACTCGTCTTCTTCGCTGGACATCCTCAAGGATTTGGGCGCCCTAACCCAGAGTTGGCTCCAACACGAGGAAGGCAGGCTACATAGCGCGCGCTGACGTGGCGTTAAGGCCCGTCGCACCCCCCGCCAGACGGACAGAGACACCAATATATTCACGACACCCCACCCCCAGCCCCCCCCCGCTATCCACCCCGATTTATGTCGGCAGCTGGCCCGCACCTGCCAACGGAACTCCTGTCCCTTGACCGGAGGGTCGGCCAGCCCCAGCCCGCCTGCGCGCCCCGCGTTCGGTCCAGCCGCTCCCACCGCCACGGCCAGCCCCCGCCCCCGCCGATCCGCCCTCCCGCCCCGCCGGCCAATGCCATCTGGGCGAGCCCACCCAGTTGCTGCGAGGGCGCTCCCTGTGTCGGACGGGCCCTGGCCCTCGGGTGACTGCCGCGTCATCGGCGGCGCGACGCCGGCCCAGGCGCGGGCCGCAATTCTCCGCGGGCGGGGCGCTGCGAGGGGCACGCACCGGATCTGGGATTCCTGATGCGGGACGTCCAGTCCTTCGCGGGCTGGATGGGCTGGAGGGCCAGGAGGACAGGGCGAAGCGGCGGCGCGGGCGATGAGCTGGGCCAGCGCGGGCACGGCGGCCTGGAGGGTGCCGGGGAGGCGCCGCCCAAGGTGCGGGCTGGGCGGAGGAGGAGGACGCTGACGGTGCTGCCCCTTGTGGCGCTCATCTTCTACGAAGTCTCCGGCGGGCCGTTCGGGATCGAGGTGCGGCGTGCGCGACGAAATGCCATTGAGTGGGACCTACTTGCGATCGGAGCATTGCGAATCCAGGCGTTGGAGCCTTGCGGGCGATGCCGGTCGCAGTGGTGTCCAAGAAGAGTTTGTTCTTAGCCCCTGCGATGGTGGTTCCGTGCACCTTTCGTTTGCGCTGCGTGTGTCAGCGGCCAGCGGCGGGGGAGGGATCTGGTGCCGGCGGTAGGACGTCTTGAGTGGCCTATCGATCCTTCAGGGGTGGGAGGGTGTGGAGGGCTGTGTCGCCGAAGCGTGGCAGCTGATTGGAAACTGATTAGCCAGGCGCCATCTGCAGACATGCGGGGCGCCGTCCGGCTCCTTGGGCCCAAAAGGGACGTGGGCATCGCTCTCACGGGGCGGGCAGTAGGCCTCTGCGGTGACGTGGCGATGATCTCGTCTCTGATACCTTGTTGTCAGGCCAGGTGCTAACTGCGTTATGGAGAGGTCCATGCTCAGATCGCTTGTGCACATCTCCCGGCGTCTTTGTTATCGTGGGCGGTGGACCTTACCCGTGATGCCCACATTGACGGCCAGCACTGACGCGGTCAGAATGCCCGCTAATGGCAATCGGTGTTGGTGGACTTAAGGGGAGAGTTCTCGTGTTGCGCATTCTTTACACCTATCCCAGCCTCAAAACGGGACACACTTCATATCACATCAGCCACCTGTGATCCGATGCGTGTATTACCCCCCACCCCCACTCCCCATCCCCCAACCCACACCACCGCACATTCAAGGTTAACAACGGAACTCTTCTCTCAAGTCATGCAAACACTTTGCAAAGCGCATGCTGGTTATCTTAGTGCCTTGTCTATGTCCCCATTTCGATCTTGCTAAATGCAGCTTCCTTTCTGCGCTTCAAAGTCGAACGGGCCCAGCAAATCCTTGCTAGAAGGTATTGCTCCAGCGCACACCCTGTGTCTGGATTATGACATTCACTTCAATATGCACTCGATGTGCACCACATTAATCTTCAGTTCGAATGTGTTTGGTGATGGAAGGAATCGGTCAACCTGGCGGGGGCCCTTCCTGCCATCCTGGGGCTGCTCATCCTTCCTTGTGTATGGAGCATCCCAGAGGCGCTGATCACTGCTGAGCTGGCGACGATGTTCCCCGAGGACAGCGGCTATGTTGCGTGGGTGTCTGCTGCATTTGGCCCTTTCTGGGGCTTCCAAGAGGGCTTCTTGTCGTGGGTCAGTGGTGTGGCAGACAACAGCATCTACCCACTCATCCTGGCGGGGAACTTGGAGGTGTTCATGCCGATCCTGACGCACGTTTGGGCAACGAGGTGCGCTCCTGAGGTCAACTCCTGAGTGGATGATTGTGTTCAGAGCACAAAGGAGAAGGGGCAGGGGGAGGGGGAGCTCATGCGATGAACGCCCTGCTCTTTGTGTCTGGCTTTTCACAGCATGGAAGATGGCGAACAAGGTTTGGGGGCACAACACGATTATGCGCAAGCTGTCTGGTGTTTGCTATTGGTCAGGGATTTGTCTTATGTTAATGAATGCAGTATATTAAGCTGATGAATGGTGTTCTAAGTCCCAGGACTCTTGCACACACCTGCCAAAACACGTGCACACACATAAATGGGGGCTGTTGGTGGTATTATGTGTCCATCATCGGCAAATTTGGTGCGAAGGCTTTCTTTTGTGACAAATTTAGGCCCGGGAATTCGCATATTCTGGACTCTTGCAACTACATTTCCTGGTGCACAGGGCCTTCTGCATAGTTGTGTCAGTGATGCTGACATACCTCAACTGGCGAGGCCTCCAAGTGGTGGGGAGCACAACAGTGTTCCTTACGTGCTTCATGTTGGCACCCTTTGTGGTGCTCACTATCATCGGCATTCCCAAGATTCATGCATCCAACTGGTTGGACTATAAACCAGGCCACTTGGAAAAGAACTTCTGGGACTTCATGAACGTTATGTTCTGGTGAGCTGGCCTCTTGGATGGAACACCTGGGAGCATAAAAGTGGCGACAGTTGTTCTGTTGAATGTCAGGGGGCCTTGCGTGCCAGGCCAGCTGGCCATTTGGAGCCATGCACTGTGTAGATGGCATTGGATGTGTGCCATTAGCATGTTGACACCGGAATTGTGAGACATGTGTCAATGGTCTTTGCAAGGGCACAACGTAGATCTCAGCAGCTGCCAAGCATATGTGGCATAGTGGGGAATGAAATGAAAGGTACATCGCCTGGAATGTGCAAGGGCGGCGATTGTTCTGTTTTAGCAAATGCAGCAAGTGGGGATCCCGCCCTGCATCTGCCCTGCGCTGTCCCATTGCACAGTGCCCTTTGCTTCGTTTCGTATTCTTTGCACAAAGTGTTTTCTCATCACATGTCTGAAACAACATTCTCGATTTTTCTTTCCCCATGTTGGGGGCGTTGGGGCCTTGCGGGTGGTGCTGTTTGCTGTTACGTTTGCAGCAACTCCAACTACTGAAATGCACAGCCTGTAGGTCAGACTATGTTTTGTGATGTGTTCCAGGAACCTGAACTATTGGGACTCCGTATCGACGCTGGCTGGAGAGGTCAAGGACCCTGGCACCTCTTTTCCTCGCGCCCTGTCCATGGGGGTTGTCGCTGTTGTACTTGGCTACCTTGTTCCTGTGCTGGTGGGGGTCGGGGTGATGGGCCAAGAGAACTGGCCAGATGGATTCTTTCCCATACTTGGGCAAGAGGTAATGAATGAATGCCTTTGGATTGCTTTTCCTAAGCAACGCATACACTGGTAACAGCAGGATGTGAGTGATGGAACAGTGCCCTTGCACTTTCAGGGTGGCAATCGGCATTCATGCATCCAAACTGTTGATTAATTCATTCGTTGCTCATATCCCCTATCTTTGCCCTTTTCTGGCAAACAAAAGAATGGACAGCACGATATGCAGTGGTGTATTGGGTTGGTAAGATGAGGTGGAGTAGAATGGGCGCATTGGCAGGCACATGCAAGAGGGGTATGTTACAGTTTCAGGTGGGTGTTTAGACCATGAACTGTGAATCCTGTTGTCTGGGCCCATTGTACTTGGGCTGAGGGAAAGAGCTATTTTGGGCTGCCTTTGCAGTGCGATGTGCTCATGCACTAAGTAACTAGCAACAACATATGTACGCAACACCACATCAGCATGCAAACAAATACATGTGGGTATGGCAACTGATCAGGTAGGGTCCAGCATCTATGCCCAGCTCTGCAGGAATGCTTTAAAGCTGTGCCTGCAGAACACTGAATATACATCAAGTGTCTTTTGACTGGCTGCCTGTATTCGTACTTGGGCAGCTGTGGGCAAGCTGCTCCTACGGCCTGCTGCTATTTTGATCAGCATGTGCGCAAGCCACAGCACCAATAGCATCCATGATCCTGCGAAAATTGTGTTGCACAAGGTGGCCAAGTTAGAAAAGCCTGAGAGCGAGCATTGCTGTGCATATCAAGGCAGAGGGGGTTTCAGCCTTCATCCAGTGTTGGATGTTGCTTCTTGCTGCAAGGTTGCTGTGGCAGCTGCTCACTGTCTTTGGACACATCACCACTTGCCATTATTTGGTGTGGTTTAGAAATGGAATCTGCAGTTTGCATATGGATTGCAAGCTTGATTTTGGTTTCAAGATGCATGTCCTGGATGTCGCATTTGAGATGTTCTGTGCATGGAAATATGCCCTTTATCATTTTGAGGTGCCGAATCATTGCCTCATAGCTTCTGGATGAATGTGATCCGCTCTGCATGTGTCAGCTTCTCATTGTAGTCAGCTGAGGGTGATGAGAAAAGCAATGCATCCTGCACAGTATGTGGCGGACCACAGCCACCGTGTGGAGAATGTGTATGGTCCACAACCTTGCGAATGTGATGGTGCTGTGTGCTGCCTTATGATTCTGTGTATTGTATTTGTATTGAGCAAATGGATTCAAAACATACGTCAATTGCAGGTGGCCGGTGACTGGCTGAAAGCCTGGATCGTCCTGGCAGCAGCGGCAAGCCAGATCGGTCTGTTTGAGGCTGAGATGTCCAGCGACTCCTACCAGGTGTGCACAGTGACGAACAGGAACAAAAACCCTGTCAGGAGTCGCATTTTGGCGTTTGTTGATGCCACCCAACATTGTCCACAGGATTGAATGACTGTACTTTGCTGTGGTTTGGACAAGTGTAGCAAATGAAAATTTTGCATGAAAGGGGTTCCATTCCAAGTTCTAACGATTCTCTGCAACCAATATGGAAGCATGTCGCGCAGAAAGGCGTGCCCCTCCAGAAAAGCTGTTTGTGTGATGTTTGCCATGCTATGAAGATGATGCGGAGGTGTTCGGCTGCACCACAAAGTACGCAACACAGAGCGGCATGCACAGCAAAGAAAAAGTGCACCCAGGGTGGCCCGCATAAGCAGAGGTGCGAAATTTTGCGGGCGTGTATGCTGTGTTACTGATAAATGCAATTCATGAGGATATGCTCCCAACAGGTGCTGGGCATGGCAGAACGCGGAATGCTGCCAAAGCGACTCGGTGTGCGTTCGCGCCATGGCACACCTACGATTGGTATCCTGCTGTCCTCCAGCGGCATTGCAATCTTGTGCTTCACTCTGCACTTTCAGAGTGTTGTGGACCTGCTGAACTATGCCTACTGCCTTGCGGAGCTGCTGGAGTTTGCAGCTTTCATCTACTTGAGGGTGAAGGCACCAGACATGCCCCGTTCATACAGGTGGGGTAAGCCAGGCTTTGATACATTTCTTTGACTAGTGTTGCTCAAAACATACTGTAAGGAATAGCAAGTTGGCTTGGATCAGCAAGAGAACATAATAAGTCACTCCTTGTGCACGCATCCGGCGATGCTGTGCCTCACAATTAGTTTCCCTGTTGTTGTTGTTCATCACATTGCGCTGGGTATCAACAGCAGGTACTATTGTACCTCTGTCCCATCGTAGTATCCAGATACCACCAGCCTGCAGTTTGGTTTGGTTGTTGGAGGTTGGTCTCACGTTGAACCCAGGCAGATGGCATCTGAACTTGTAACCATTATCACCTTGTCTGTGCTGCTCTTTCTGCTATGCGGCACCAGCGGGCCACAGACATTGTAAGAAAGCATCGTACTTTTGAGAGGGCCAATGAAGAAGGTGACAACTCAACACGATTATAGTCACAGCAGAATAGAGTTGTAGCGCAGAATGTTGTGATAACTCAAACCAGCGTGTCAAGATTTTCGTTACACGAATATGGAGGATGTCAATCCCTATTTTTCCGGAACTGTGCTATGGCAGGAGACCTGGGACTTAGCAGTGCAGAACATCAGGCATACCATTGCTTGTCAGGCTATCATCCCTTTGTTTAGAATATCCTTCGATAAGACAATGTTTGTCAGGCAGATCGTTTCTAATGTACTGCTGGAGTGTTCAAACGAAGCACCAAACCGAAGGGCACACCAGTGAGAAGAAGTGGGCCTGAGAAACAATCCTACAGCGCATGAAGTGGACAAGAATGAGCAGAAATTCCCAGAAACTCAAATCTCGTGGCAGACGGGCACCAACACGCACCCAATACCAAGAAGGCAGGAACTGCACCGCAGTGCGTGGCCATAGCTGATCCCACTGTATCTGAATAAAGAGAGAAAAGAGCCTCTAACTACGTAACCAAGCTAACCCAAATTCATCCCTAAATTGTACTCAGTAGTCGATGGTTCAAGGCTGCCCTTGTTGGATGTTTCTTTGTTAGTTTTGCCAGTGCTTTCGTTTTTTTTCTTGTGTTGGAAATGCGCACAGTCTTTGTCCCATGTCATATTCATTCTGGTGGCAAGGAAGGTCATGTCTGCTTGTATGGGTGGTAGAGAGGACAAGGAAAAGGAGAAGAAAGGGCCTGCCATTGTTGCAGATAGACACGGCACTGTGGTTTCATTAAATGCTCATTTTTGACCAAAGTGAGACTCCAGTGAACCGATTTGAATGATTGCATCTACATCCAGGCAATATCTGGGCACGTTGGATGTATGGCCAGCCTATTGTCATGGCTTTCCTGCTGTTTGTTGAAACATCAGGCTAGTAAAAGGTACCCAATTGCTCTGCGGTGCCCCGGTAGGATTGAAAGGCTTTCAAGAATTTGCGAGAACAGGGGCTGCCCATGTTATTGCCTGTTCGTCTCTCTGCAGCAGTCGTTTTTGCGTTCCTGTGCTGTAGGATTCCTCTTTCCACCACTGGTGTCTGCATCATGCTCTTCCCTGCCACTGTGCTGCTGTTATACCTCATCGTCTACCCATGGATGCAGCTGAACTATGTGGTCATTGGCTTCTGTGTGGGAATCCTCCTCTCGGGCTCCATTCTTTGGGCCCTCCTGGAATGCGCCAGGAAACGCGGCTGGTTCGAGTTTGCAAAATTGGAAGCGCAGCACAATTCCGACGCGGACAGTGTGGATGAGGAGGAAGACGAGCATGAAGGGCTGCTGCACAGCGGTACGGACCAGAGCGAATACAAGGCCCTTGATGGTGTTGACCCCTTGGTGCGCGCTCAGCTGTTTGGCGAGCTGGAGAACACCGAGAATGTGCTGCTTGAGCCTTTCTTGTAGGCAGGAGAGTGTTACAGGCCTCCTCGTTGTCGCCACACACATGTTTCCACAACAAACAGAAACGCACAGCCTTGCATTGAGCCATGGAGATTGGATTCTGAAGCCAATTTGTGCTGACGGTCACACGGGTATGGTTAGGGTTGCTGTCAGGGCGTGTCGACAGGGTGTGCTGTGCCCATGTCACAATTCCTGGGGAGGGAAATGTTCAGTAAGAAACTGCGGTCGAATTCTGCTTTTGACAACACACCGATGGGCGTAGCTGGCAGGAACAGTGACCAGCAATCCTCTGGGAAGCTTGGTTGTTAACGCTGTGGTACTGCCAATGCTGCCATTCACTGCTAATTGTGCAATGTGTAAAGAGTCAAGCTTCCCCACAGAATTAGTCGATCACTGTGAGTTTGCGATACTTCACAAGGAATGTTTTGGTGAAGCTTTGGATAAATAGTTGTGCCCGCGTGCTGATTTGGCCTACAGTTGCTTTCAGAAAGGCATGACATCACAGGCAAGAATCGAAGGGAGACTGGCACCCACAGCAGTTTATCTGGCCAGGCTCCTTGTCGAAATCTGCATCCAAGAATTGTATGGTGTATCTCTGCTGGTGGCACTTATGTATTTGTCCGACTGTGCGCAAACTTTCTCTTCTGCTGTACTTTCGTATTGCAGGAAATTCACGAGTTCTGTCATTTTGTTGCCCACAGCCCGTATTCTTGACAGGTCTGAAATAGGCCGACAGCAACAGGCTCACACTAGCGGCATTGAACTGCAAGCCTGCAAGTGCTTGGGTGCCTGCAAACCAAATGCTCGAGTCACACGGCAGTGTGTCATGCATTGCCAGTGCAGTGAGAGCCACTGTGCCCAACAACACCTTGCAGACTCAAAGGCTTTGAGTTTTGTCGCTCAGAGACAGAAATTAATAAAGCATGCACACTGCGGGGCACAGGGGATTGAAAACAAGCAGCTGGCAATTGGAGTGCTGTGAGAGTATTATTCATCTATGTGAGCTTCAAGCCGCTGCTGTTGTCGCTCTGCAAGAGAAACTCAATGGGCGAGAAAAAGTTGCATGCACATGCCCTCACACCACCAGCTCCTGAATTGGCCACAGCTTGTGGCAAGATTGCAGGTCGCACAGCGAAGGGATGGCAGACCTATTGAGGGCGACACGGCACAACAGCAAGCTGGGCACACAGCAGAGTTGTTTGGCCCCATTCGCTGTCACTGCTGGGAATAACACTTGAGCGTGACCAGTGCCCACTCCGACAAGGCCAGCACCAGCCAGTCGCTTTCCATCGCCCATGAAATAGAACGCTGCGTGGCCTGGCGCCTCAGGATCACATTCCAGGCTTTTGAGGTGATGCCAGTGGTATCAATCTGCGGGCAAAACTGGCAGCATCGTTTTCGTGCCGTGGCATTGCAGGATGACTGGTTGCTGCAGACCAATCGTCATCGAACACCCTTGATGACCCCTTGGAGCCCTCATTGCCTCGCGCATAAGTGGGGAACGGTGTGCTGATTTCGACACAAGCAAGCAAAATAGAAGCTCCCCTCGGTTTCCCCTGCTCTAAGTCCATCAAAATCGTGGTTGCGTGGTGAAATATGTTTCGTTGCAGGAGCATGGGCCTGACATCGCCATCAAACCTTCTGTTGTCGTCTTGGGCTGTTCGGCACAACTGATGTGCTGCCATGAAAAAGGGGCCGCACACCGCGCCTGCCTGTGTTCTGCATTCGTTGCATTGCTTGTGCAGTGTGCGTTTGGCTCAATCACTGCAACATTGTGACATCCTTAGTTTGCACTCGCATGCACTTGGATTTGCGTTAATTCAATGCACAGTTTGTTTCCACCTACTTCAACTTGTACCTGAATTGCATCTATCTCAGGTGCAGCATGGACAGGGAGGGCGATCCGCAATAGGAAGCTAACCGTTGGTAAAAGAGCCCAGATCGCGCAGTTGTTGGCCTTGTTTGTATTTGAGCAGCGCTGAAATTCTTGCACGGGATACAACCCTGTTCAAATGGTCCCATACATTGCAATGTTGACCATGATTTTGGTGCCATTGCCCAGCAGTGCACGAGGTCGAGCTTCCCGGTGTCCACCACATGACATCTGGTGACAGCAATTAGAGACACGACCGCAATGGGACGAAATGCGACTAGAGCTGCGAACTATTGTGTGCTGCAAAGCACTGGAGTGGCCTGGAACAGCATTTGGGACGCCGCGATGTTCCGAGGAAGTGAATAATATATTTCAGTCTATCCATGGGTATTGATCCGCATTCCACACATGCACTTCGTTCCAGTCCGTGAGGGGAGTGGTTCAACGCGCGTTGACTCAGCTGGGCAGAGCAACGCCTGTGACCAGGCCAGCTGGAGACGATGCAGCGTAGACACTCCTACAGAAGCCCTTGCTTGGACGTTGCTGCCGATTTCGCCAGCCAATGTCTATTTCGCAGCTTGGTCCTCTGGAGACTTCTCACTGCACTCTCCTTTATGGCCCTCACATGCTTGGAGGTCGCTCGTCCTCTGCTTTCGGGCTGCACACCACAGATCAATTGGCAGGTCAGCCTCCAGGCAGGATTGACCACGCAGGAAACTGATGGAGGACTGTCGTGGCAAGAGGGAAATTTGTCGTACAGTGAGCACCACCTCCTGCACAAAGGTTTTGTGAAAGCGTGATACCCTTTTCCATGCTATGAAGATGCTCTTGAAGTGCCTGCTTGCACACAGCACTGAACAGGGCGCTTTGCAAGAGTTGCACTGAAGAGACCTGCATAAAGGGAGATGAGCTGCTGATTGAATGGATTCTATTGGTGACTTTTGTTGTCTATAGGGATCATACTCTGAACATTCTGCGCCTGGACTTGCGCCCGCATCGTTTTGCAGGTGCATGCGTTAGGCTCTGTTGCTTTCAACGTATGTAATCAATGATTGGCAGAAGCCACTGACAGAACACAGGTTTGCTTGGGCACCATGTGCGGTCGTGAGCGGCAGCAATGGACAATGAACTGCGCCATACCGGGCATTGACTGGTGATGGTTTGGAGTGCTGAAGACATAGAATGCCAAACTGGGCGCTGCCCATTTCTGCACAGCACTTGCATCAATACCACTCATGCATGTCAAGGCTGATGCAACGTCAAATCCTACACGCATGCATCGTTCGAAGGAAACGGTGCCAGGATCACTTCGACCTTGCCGGCCCGGTAGCAATGGGCCCTCACTCAGTTGGGTTGCTGTTCGCAACGCCCCATTGTGGCTATCAATCTGGTGAATTGGCGGGATTTGGACACAGGACACAGTGCAAGTACGCAATGCACAGGCCTGAGAACCGATCGACCGCCTGTTGGCTGGCAGTGTATGGCTCGAATCGGTCGCGGCCCAGGCAGCAACCTGATCATGTGTCTCTTCGTGGTCCTGATGCGTTGGCTACGTCAAATAAATGTGTTGATAGCTCGCAATGAAGCGCACTCACGCTGCGAAACAAAATATCCATACTGTATGTTTCTGGAGTTCGGAGCAAAGTGTCTGGTCCACATGCATATCGACCAATTTCAAAGTTCCATCAAATCGCCATGCAACTTTTCTGTAATGTTTGAGTTGCATTGTCTCATAAGGATGGCCGGTTGCAAAACGAGGCGTGCTGCAAAGATACGCCATCCCTCAGCCTTATTCCCTCAGCTGGGAACGGGATAGCATTACATCCATGTCACAGAACATGCCAATGCCACCACACCTAGCTCATGGAACGGATTTAGTAAACATTGGGAAACATGCGCTGCGCCATTGCATGTCGACAACAACCTCCATCGTGATGCTTGTCGCCACACAAGACACTTTGACGCACCAATCGCACCCACACCAAGCAAGGCCATCATTGCCGCATGTCGCTGCGATCCCATGCATTTGTTGATGGCGCCACAATTGGCAACACCAAGGCACTTCATACAAGAATTCAAAGCACAAAGTTGGGGCAGAGTTAAAACAGATTCCAGCCATCATCCGTTGGCTTGGGACACATTAGCCGGTCAACATGAAGTATAATCTTAACCAAACAAGCAATGTGTAAATGTGCGGCTGTTCATGGCACCACATAATGACCACCGTTTCACTGGGTGATCACTTATGTAACTGGTGTACGATGGGTCTACCATATGCACTGCGTACACTACATATTGTGCCGGGGCCACGGGGCCGCATGCATGCCCGTTAAGGAACAACACGGGGAGGAGAAGCGGTTGGCTCAGGCAAATGTTATACCAAACAGAATCACAACAAAGACAACCTCATTAAGTAACAATTCATTACGTTGCCAGATTATTAAAATTGTACCTAGTTAATGGTGGGCCCATAAGCAACTATAATGGAGCTACCTGACCACCCCACAGGCAAGGACACAGGTAGAACTACCAAATCCCAATTCCCCCAAGGCTTTGCTTCCCAATGGCAAAATGCTATGACTCATTAAATTACATTAAATACCCTAAAGCCAAAGAGTCATAACACTCCATGGGATGGCTTGTGTATGCCACCACCATTGATATGAGAAAAAAAACAAAACAAAGAGAAAACACTCCAAAAATGGGTTATGAGCGGACAACCGCAAACCTTGGGAATGAAAACGAGGATAGTGTAAGGTTAGGGAGACAAGGGCTGAATGTGAGATGCCACTTTGTGTTGTCACTAGATTCATGTCACCATTCAGCGCCCCAAATTGATTGGATTCAATTACAATTTTGGAGGTCCTGGGCCTCAAGGGCATAGGCTGTATGGGTAGATTGGGATCGTCTTATCAACTATTCCTTGGTCTGAGAAAGACCATCTGGGTTGTCTGAACTAATAAGAAAAGACAACTAGTATAGTAATCTACACGAAAAAATGGGCTTTTATGTGACGTGTGAGGTTGTGTTCAAGGCAAGACCTTGAAATGCACTAACACGCACAGGCTTCAGGGCATGTGTACTGGCTCTATGGGGTCTCAGGGTCCAGACATGGTGTTAGACCTTGTGTTGTGCAAGGGTACTTTTAGCACCCTCACTATAAGCACTTGCATGCACTAAACGTCATGGGCCAGGATGGTCATAACAAGTTTATCACATCACAAGGGGGAGAGAGTGAGAGTCGGAAGTAGGTTGACTCCCCTCAACCTGTGTGTTGATTGTGTGTTTACCATTTCACCCAAAGTTGGTTGTGCAAGCCACATCGAGTAGGGTCAAAATATTTAGTTTTTAAGGAAAAAAGATGAGTTGGTCTAGTGGAATAAGGAAAACATGAGAGGGTGATGGTTGTTTTGAAAAGACAAGTGCATCGGATTGTGCATGGTCCTCTCAAAGGGCCTACTGCCTATCCATTGGGTCTTGAATCGGGAGAGCTGGCTGTTATTGCCAGATTCTTAAAAAGGGTTGTTTTGTCTTTAAAGTGGTTGTGTTTGAAAGCACTTTTATTTCATATGTTTGAGCAGCTGCCAAAGAGCTTTTATACCCCATGAGTCATGTACTCTTTCCTTGGGTGTTGTGAGACACAAGTGATGAGCGGTGATGTGTTGTGAGGGGTTTGCATGGATGCAAGGGCGCATTTTGTGTACTTGTAATTGGATGGAACATCATTAACGTAAAAAAGGGCAGTCGTTGATGTTCTCTTGGAAGAGGTTGCTTGATCCTGTGTAGGTGCATGTTGGGACGTAATCTTGAGCATTTCCTTGAGTTTGCTTGAGTGCATTTGTTGTAGTTTGAGTATTGGCAAAGAACCGCACATGTTGCTTTCGAAGCTTGGCTGCATAGTCTATGTTTTGAATTTTGGGTTTGAGTGCATTGCCCCATTGCAACATGATTTTGTGTTCAAATATTAGACAACACTTCCAAATGCTCAACTATTGTTATTGTGGCGTGCTGTACCCCGCAGGCACAGCCACATCTTGCAAAATGTGCAAAACAGTCCTGATTCCGCAGCCATTTTTGTGGCGTTGGTGGACCTCAATTTGTGTGGTTGCGGGGTGGCCTGGACAGCTTGAAGGGTCAAGCAGACTGTTTGAAGGGGTCAGACCAGTGTGTTTTGTGAACGTGCAAGCATGGTTTACTGATTGATAGGCGTGCATGTGGTTGTGGGCGTTTTGGTGTTCCATTAGGCCATTCGAATCCTAAGGTGTCCCGGCCATAAACAGAACGCCCGCAGCACCGCAGACTGCCATACCACAAAACGCTCGCTGAGAAGTGAGTCTGGGGTGGTGGCCGAGAAGGCCGTGCACCTCCGCTCTGAGGGGCAAGTAGGGCGGGTACATCGGCCAAAGAGCGTGCCACTACCATGACAGACTTGTTTGGCCGTTTGCCTAACGATCCCTTCGAGGCATCCCTTGAATCCGATTTGGGGACGGCCACAAACGCCCAAAGGATGCCAAGAGGCGCCTGCCACATAACCAAGGCAAAACGCACGGGGTAAGCAGGCTGCAAAGCCCCTAAAAACATGACACAACCAGGTGAAGGAGGCCTACATGGCGCACACCATGGCGGGCCATCGATAGCTCGCCATCGGAGATCTGCCCATCAAAATCCATCGACATATAGATGGTGGCGTCCGACACGGAGAGGCCCCAAGAAGGGTTTGCTTGGTGGAGAGGAGAAACTTTTTGGAGGGGCCACAGCCTGAGGGCGCGTGCTAGAACAACGTGGCGTTTCCTTGAGTGTGGCTGCAACATGCCCAAGGAGGTGTACAAGGATGTGAGCATGAAAATCAAACTCTAACGCATGCAGAAGTCAGGAGGGTGTAGAATGGGTTGATTTGTATTGTGGCTGTGCGGTGTTGTGGTGTGTGTGCGTGTAATCTGTGTAAAGTTGCAATTTGTGGCCCCAAACTGGTGTCTGGTCATGAATGCGCAGAAAATGCGCTGATGGGTTGCAGTTGTGCGTTACACAAAGTGGCGGGCCATGTCCTGTCGGAGAGAAGGCATCAGACACATTTCTGTGTGCCCAAAATGTAGTTTCAGACACTGAATGTTATTTAGTAGCGCGCGGTCCATTCACCCGGGCAGTGACACCTTGGCTCTCGGGTATTCAATCACAGCTGCCCCTTGACATTGGCGGCAGAACTGTATAACGAAAAGACGCTCTTTAATGAGCGGCCGTCTCGAGCAGGGCCAAAATAAACGGATAGTGATTCAAACACTCCACTTAATATTGGAGCTGCAAGGTCGGCTTGAGTAAATAAAAGGCCACCTGTCTCAACTGGAAGACGCCCCACCCCAACCCACCTCCCAGATTCGCATCATTGGGCGCCTCAGCGGTTCTCTTCTTGGAGAACATGGACATGATGGTAGTCTGCTTCTTGAATTTCTTCATCTTGCGCGACGACAAATCGCATGGTATACGCCCAGGCTTTGGGACGATGTCCTTCAGCTCTGCAGCAGCACATCCACATGAACAACTGTCGCTGTCATCACTTTTCTCGAGATCAATTGAGAGCACGACGCATCGCAGTTTCATGCAGATGTTTCCCACATGACAAGACAACTTCGAGGTGGGGGATTTGGCTGCGCACACAGGAAAGGTGGAAATCTCTGTAGGCGGGTTGGAGGGAGCCATGTTGAGGGATAGGAGGCCCCATAGGGATAAAAGACCCATTCTTTCCCATACTTTCCTTCCTGGTACAGTTCAGCAGCGGCTGTCTGGTTACACGTCAGCAACTGCCGCTTCCCTCATGTACATTTTGTTTCATCGATATCATTGGGTGTCTCCTTGGTCCGAAAGTCATAGGCTGATACTGGCCACCTTTGCGCGAACTCACCCAACATCAATGCTGCATGATCGCTCCTGAAGCGCAGGCATACCAACACAACAGAATTATGGTCAACACGTTGCCTCACAGATCTGGAGCACTCAAGCATTGCTCTGCCACAGAGGTGCAGCACCAATCTACCAAAAGTCATTCGACAATATGGGCAACAAATACAGAATGACAGACGACAGGTGGCCCAACGACCCAATACGCTTCATGACTCGGTGTCTGCCGACATTGCCGCACTCCGAAGGCAAGAGCACAGGTCAAGGGCAGGGCGCAAGGAGGCGACGTTCATCGGGTGCTTGTCATTCGATGCAAAAGAAAACAACTCGTGCACAGTGTGTTGGTGACGTGCGTCCGAACGAGATTGGTGTAATTGTCATTTGGGAAATTATTGAGAGGTCTGTTAGTTTACGCACCATTTCCGAGGCGAGTCGAGAATCTCACATGATACCACTTTGTCAAGGAACCCCTTGCTGCATAGTGCATAGTCGATTCGTAGGCCCTGTGCGACGATTTGACGACAAATGAACGCCGATCAGCCAGCACTCGCTGCAATCTGTAGACAAGGGAATGGCAGCCCCACACACAGCCCTGGTTGATATCACAACCCTCATGATAAATGGTGATGGACAATCGCGATGGATTAATGCCACTGTCAATTGGGCCCCAGGTCTAGTACTATCAGCAAAAGAAACCAAATGGATTGTGCTGATAGTGCTATCAAATTGGCGCAATAAAATTTTGTGCACCATTTGTGCCATCTGCACCAATTGGGTTAACGGGGACAACACCTACGCTATCCTCACCTTCAAGGTTCAAGGATTTGGTCATTTTTTCAAACAAGTCATTTTTTCCAACAGGAATCCAAGGAATTGACACCATTGGGGCAGATGGCAACGACAAAACACGTGCAGGCACAAAATCACCAGCCATTGGATGCAAGATGGAAGATGGTGCAGACTGCTACACAAGAATTTGGCAACGTTTGGCTACAAAAGGAATGCTAATATGCCCCAGGTGGCCTTGTGAAAAGGCGGTCATCACCAGTTTGCATATTGGTAATGATAAAATTTTGTTCCCTCTCTGGGGTGCTCCACCATTGGAAAAGCTGTGCAATCAGCAGAGATACTCCCCAATAATCCTGTCGCTTTGAAATTCTCAGCTCTAGCAGGCGATGGGGCCGTGCCTGCCCCAGTGCCCAGCAGAAGCAACTGCTATTCGACAATCTATGCCTACCCAGCAGGCACTTTTATCAAGTGGCCAGAAGAAGAGCATTGGCTGTAGATGTTCATTCTAAGGGATCCAGCTCCACAGATGTTGCTGAATCCGAGGCGGGGATTCTGACATACCAATACTGCGTTCCCAACCTTCGACCCCACACATCGACAGCCCTACCTGATTAACCTCCCTGTGACTCTTCCTCTCATTCCAGACAGTGTAGACCCCAGTCCGGTCAGGATGCAGATGCCGCCACACATCTAAACAATCACTGGTGATTCTCCTCAAAGCGTTGACTTCTTCTGGACCATACAATGATGCATGATCAAACACAGGGTGGACATCACGCACCTCTAATGCAATGTTGAAGTCGCCAACCAGCACAACCTTGCCAGGCACCACAGCCATGCATCACACTCTGTCACACTTGACACCATGAATCAAGTTACAAATCGCAACACGAAAGTGCAGTGTGGTGAACAGCACCCTTATCTGCAATTTCAACAGTTATCACAAGGTGCACATTAGCTCCATCAAGCCTGCAGTACAAGATGCCCTTCTCTTGTTGACAGCACTGGGATTCTGCATTGGAAATGGTGGCATTCCCACAAGATCGCCCATCTGTTGTCAACAAGTCAACATACAGTTGGTGCAGTGAACCCTAACGGAAGGCAAGAAAATGGATATCTTTGGACTGCCTGATCAGCTGGTGGTATTCTCAGTTGACTCACACAAGAATAAGATTAGAATCAAGCACAACAATTACTATACAATCAGACAGCTGACATGACTTCTGTACTCCAACAATGGTTGATGGTCATTGCTGACTGCCTCCCCTCCTGCAAACTCGCACTTTCACAGCAACGGGTAAAAACAGATCAGGATTGCAGACATGACTTCTAAAGTCCTGACATCAATGGCGCTCACGTATCTGTTGACATAGTGTTCAAGCACCAAAAGGCAGCACGGCAGCAGTTTGCCAACGTTGACAAAACTTTACGTCGCCTGACCTGACGACCAGCATCTGTCAACGATTCCACCTTTGCTTGCAAGGCTTCAAAGAACCTGAGCTTGAAGTCAAGCCTGGGCCTCAATGGGGCTTCACCAGCATTGGGGGCATACAGATTTATGAGGACAAACGCACCAAAGTCTGTGACAACCAGCCTGGAAGGACACATACACCAACAGCGATCACGTTCACAGTAGAGTGACAGCCTATGATGGGCACAAGCTTCTCAGGCACCAAAGATAAGAAAACAGCAAACACAGCACTATGACCACCTGCAAAATACCCCAAAAGGAACGAGCGTGATGCGACCTTTTCCAGGTTGCACTCACACTCCAAGTTGGATACCTGCCCTCCCTGTCTATGTCTCCATCCCCCAGCCCCAAGCAGTCCACCTCAGCTGAGACTGGAGAGAATTGCAGCTTCACCCATGTCGTAACACCTGCAGCACAGTGGAGAGATATCCAACAAATGTGCAAGCCAATCATTTGCAATTGCACAATTGGAAATGGTATGGCCTAGTAGCTGCTGACACAGCCAAGCTCTGCCTATTACACACTTCAGGCAATTGTATGAGGGAGCTAACAAACTCTGGAAACTCACATATGTGGGCTTGGGACCTGCCTTTCATCACCTGCAAGGTGCAGCAGCTGTGTTTTGCCAAATTGTTTCACAAACAGAAAATTAAAAACTTTTTGCACACTGGCAACATGTCCCCTGGCTGGGTCTGAACCTGGTCTGGGCACCGGGCCAGGAAACAAATTTAGGGCCAGTGCTGTGACAGCCTTGAGGTATGGGATAACAGGGCTCAGTTGTTGGATGAGAAGACACTCACCACTGTAGCCTTTCCTGTCCTTTGGAAATGACCAAAATGACTGTGGACCAGCAGCACACAAATGGGCCAACACTCAGTTTCAGATTCAAGATGTGGAATTACCAGTGTCAGAACAGAAATGCAGACAGCTGTGCTTTGTCAGCATTGTGAGTTCACAGAGAGACACATGCATGGGACATCCTCACAGGCAGGGTCCAACAGGCTACTGATCCCTGCAGACCCCATTTCCTTGCTCACAGGTAAACTTTTTCCCGCCCTGCGCAAGATGCATGTGGTGGCCACAGAGAGCCAATGGCGCCTGGCCTTGTGATTCTTGAGGCATGGAGTGAAGAAATGCTCATACCACCCACTGTCACCCCACACACCTCTGTCCATTTTGACTGTCTTCCAGCTCAGCACCTTTGCCTGGATAACACTCGATCTGCTGTCTGGCATGTTTGTTTTAGGGTCATTTTTGTCTTGCCTATACATCACACTATCTGGCTTGCTTCTTCTCCTGTGTTTCACTTTGCTTGCAAGGTGAAACATTACCTGGCATTTTTGCAAACTGGTGAGACACTTGGTGTGAATGCTATTTGTAACACAGCATGATGTAAACACAAAGACCATTGCTGCCCCAGCATGTCTCTGCTGGATAGTTTCATTGTACTCGCCAAAGCATGGCAACACTGTCCTACAAGTGGATTTCAATCGGCACTGTCCCTTGCATGAGGCATCAAGTGGAAAGGATGAGCGGCTGCAGCACATCACACATTGTATCACGCTGTGGCTCCTCGTGCTGAATATGTGACTTTTGATATTGCGAAGGTGCCATGAAGCGATTACATTGATGCATCCCAACTGGAGAGAACGTCATTGAATACCATACTGACTTTTCATGCTTGAGTGAGGGGAAGCCATGCTGTATGGGAGTTTGGGCCAAGTTCCCTCACCTCATACCCATCCACACATGCAAACTGCTCTGTCAACTTTTCCTCAGGGATCTTCACTTCCTACCAAAGTTTGAAAAAGAAGTTGAAGCAAAGAAACAAATGACAGAAGGGGGAAGTGTCACCAACCAGCATATCAACAATGCCACAAACATTCAGGTCTGCACTGGCTTCCAGGTGGACAAGTCTGGTCTGAAATGGGAGACAAAAACAATCCAGGTTATTGACACAATGGTGCTTGCTTCCAAAGGGCAGAGAATTGATACAATTTAGTGTGGAACCTTCTGATGGACAACAGAAGTAGACAATCAGCATTGCACGCCGTTTTCATGCAGGCAACAGTGCTGCCCGTAATGTTTTGCTGCAAGAGTCTTGTCACAGCTGTGCTGCAGTATTGTGCATTTGGGGTCACTTCAACCCTCAGCAATATGCTGCGAGATAAGACAGGCAAGGGACACAGGTGCTGCACAAGGCTGTGTCTTCATTTCAGAGGGGAATTCACCACCAGCTTCCTGGGTACACCAGCTCCCCTTGCACAAGTACTGCTAATTGCAGAAACAAATAGGGACACTGATTTCAAATTCAAAGCCTTCTTGAGCTTTGGATGGTGACAGCGATGGTTGTCCGATGTTACGAAACAAACAAAAGTGACAGTTGGTGCACCCTCCCTGCCCAACATCGCCTGCAAGGCGCAAGGGCAGTGTTTTGTCAAGTTATGTGACAAAGGTAATCAAAGGATTTGAGCACCCTCCTTTCAAACTCCAGACTCAAGCCAAATGAAGGCTCCAGTGTTTCGGCGGCTTCCACTTGTACGCAGCTTGTAATATATATTTGGGAACTGACAATGCCTCAAAAGTGCAATGGCAGCGGCATGTCATAGTGTGGCAAATCCAACAAAAGCAGAGCCGCCATTCAAACTCTGTGGAGATGGGATCCCACTGCCAGCCATGCTCCTGCTCAAAGAGTCATTATTCCAAAATGGCTGCCGGCGACCACTGCTCAACCGCATGGAGGCTGCCACACTCCTTTCTTCGGACTCTGACTTCGGACTCGCATGTTTTATTTTTTGGCCAGCCATCAGCACCTGGTGCGTGTGCCATTCGTGCTCATTCTGGGAAGAAAGCGATTGTCATTTGTGCACACTGTGTCCGTCTTGTCTGTGGATTAAACGGCACCAGGTGCAGTTTCTGCCACTCCTCTTCGATGACAAGGCGTCCGGCAGGGAACATCGAGCAGACAGGGTCGAAATGACAGCAAATGGTGATCCCACCTGAAAACAGACGACGTCCGCTCCATAGCTCTCGAAAAAGGCTTTCATCGACTTGTGTCTCAGGATGGCATTCCTGGCCGTGGGGGGCTGCGCAACATCCGTCCCACAACCACGTGTCAGCGCTGCCGCCGCCGGGCCCACACAACGGCGCAAAGGACAGGCGAGAACTTGGGCCGGTGGGTGGCTCACCAGCCCGTTCACGTTCCAGACGAGGATGCGCATGGTGCACAGACGCGCCACGTCGCGGTCGTCATT